GATCTATGGTGGCCCTTTAACACACCCTAATAAAAAGAGAAGGCCCCCACTGGGCAAGCTAGGATACAAAGAAACCACATCCTAAAACAAAAAGAAAAGGGTTATTTTGATTTGCAAGGATTGTGTGCTGAAATGTTAGCATTTGAAAGTGTTCAACTGCCTCTTTGAGAATCTGCCTCCTCTTGACCCACCCTACCAGACACAACAGACTCCCAAAACAGTCATCTTAAAAATCAAATTCTTAGCCAGGTGTAGTGGTTCAGGGCTGTACTCCCAGCACATGGGAGGTAAAGATGTGAAGTTCAAGGTCAGTCTCAACTACATACCTGGGTTTATGGAGAGATCTTGCCTCAAAGGAATAAGACAAAGTGAAACAGAAGAACACCCAATGAAATAGGCATGCAAACTGCACCCAAATACACACACACACACACACACACACACACACACACACACACACACGGGGGCGGGAGGGGGGGGTGTCAAAAAACAATAGTTTGTTAAAGCTACCTATGAGCTTGTAAGAGTATCCATCTTATCGGAACCGTCTTTGTGAGTTTACCTTAAATGTGCTTTAACAGGACCATTGTCTCAAGAGCTGCAGTGCTCACTCTTACATACAGAAGAACTGGCTGGGCTCCCTCAGCTTTCCTTTCTCAGCGCTTCTGCAGCAGTCCGAGGTAACAGAGAAGTTCTGCGCTAATTATTCCAAGATTTGTTTCTGCCTAGTAAAAGCACTTTCTGCCGTTTTTGAGTCAGAGTCTGTGACTGACAGGTTAAGGGTTATTAAAATGACCCTATATTACCAAGTTGTGGGGTTTAGAGTACTTACAGAGTGTGACTGTCTCTAGGAGATACCTGTAAACTTACTTCTTGCATTTTTAAAGTGTTTACTAAGACAGAAAAAAAAAAGCTAGTCCAAAGACATAAAGCAAAATTTGTATTTGCATAAAGGCCTTTCTAAGGCCAGACCCAGGTGCCAAGAATTCTGTCTCCCAGTCTTGTTTATCAGTTATACCATGATGATGAGCTCTGGCCTCTGCAAGACCCTCGGAGGCTCCCTCCGCTGTTTCGGTTCAGTAGCAGCAGTGAGCCTGCATGAGCAGCCAGTGTGAAACTCCAGGCTAGGCTCCCCTTTAGGCTCAGTTCCTTCCTTACTGAAAGATCTTAAGCCTGGTACCTGATATCCCGGAAACTATGCCGGACACCAAGGATTTGAAGAGTCAGAAGTGAATTTCCTGCCTTAAGTTCATTGTCTGGGGTGGGAGGGGATTAACACGTGGTACAGTGTGGTGTGCTATAGTGTTTCTGTGGTGGTGTGGGAGGGAGGATTAACATTTTGGTGCAGTTGTATGCTGTAGTGTTTCAGTGGTATATGGGATGGGTCTTGTGAGTGTAGAGTAACAGGACCTCCCTCTGCCTGGGCCGCTGGGGCAATGGAGGTGTAGGATCAGAGGAGAAGAATGTTTCAGTAATTTGTTCGGTTTTGTTGTGGGATATTTGTACACTGTGTGAAGATATATTGCTGTGACTGGTTTAATAAAAAGCTGAATGGCCACTAGCTAGGCAGGAGGTATAGGCAGGACTTCCGGGCAGAGAGAGGAAGTAGAAGGAGATAACCGAGGTGCGGAGGAGACACCAATGAGTCATGGAGGGAGTTGGACACACAGAATGAAAGAAAGGTGAAAAGCTACATGGTAAAACGTAGGTTAATAAAAGCAGGTTAATTTGTTATAAGAGCTAGTGGAACAAGCCTAAGCTAAGGCCGAGCTTTCATAAATAATAGTAAGTCTCTATGTCATTATTTGTGAGCTGGCAGCCCAAAGGAAGGTCTGATTACATTTTTTCTTTCTTGTTTGACTTGCTGAAGTAAGTATTTCAATGAATTTCACAAGCACTTTAGGGCATTTGAGTGAAAATTAATCACGTGTACATTACTTAGGACTTGATTAGGCCAGGTACAACAGAAAACCAACCATGGCTGATGTAAGTCAGGGGTCTACTCCCCTCCCCGGTAAAGAAGTCCAGATGCCAGGGGCAGCTGCTCATGGATATTGTCAAAAACCCAAGCTATCTTTATTCTTCTGCTCCACTGACCTCATTATGTGTTCTTTATCCTCAGAGTGGCAAACTGTTCGCTACAACTCCAGCTTCGTAGCTGTGTTAGGACCCCAGGCAGCGAGAAAGAGACAGCCACTCCCCGTGTCAGGGAAGGAGGTCCCCAGCCATCCAGGCTTGTGCTTGCATTTTATTTATGTGACCACAGCCCTTCTGTCATGGTACCAACAGAAACTGTTGACTTTTTTTTTAAGAAAGAGATCACAGATAATAGCTGAAAGATAGAAAGATGTTATGGGCAATCACACGAAGCCATGATGGAACATAGTACTGATAGAGATCCCAGAGATCAGAGGCACAGGGCTTCCTATAGTTGTGAGTTTCTTTAGATATCTCTCAGCCTCGGACCAGGCTGTGTGATGGACCGGTAGTTAAGAAGTGTGGGTTTCAAAGATGAACACATCTGGATTATAATCCTGGCTCCACTATTCATTAGTTCTGTGATCTTTCGCAAATTACAACTCTCCGAAACTCAAATTTAATACTTCAAGTAAAGGTAGGGGTGGTAGCTGCCTCACTGAATAGAACAGCCTTCACCAGCACGTGGTACAGGGCCTCGCACATAGTGAGGGCTCAGTAAGCATCAGCTGCCACCGCCACCATGTTTCATGGCTCCCTCCTCCAACTTCCTCACTTACATTCCTGATCCCTGTTTCCATAAGCCTTCCTCGGGGCTGTTCTTCCTGCAGTTACTTCCCCCCCCTACACACACACACACACACACACACACACACACACACACACACACACACTCCAGACTCCAATGCAGAATGTAACATGATCTTCCAGCATCTTCTTTGAGCCTAAATTAGATTTTCTTGTTTTAACGTTTGATTCTGTATATGTGTGTGGGTATGTGTTCGTGAGTCCAGATGAGGGCATAAAACCCCCTGGAGCTGCAGTTGCAGGCTGTTGTGAGCCCCCTGACATAGGCACTGGGAACCCCACTAGAGTTCTTTGGAAGAGCAGCATATACTCTTAACTGCTGAGCCATCACGCCAGCCCCTTAAATTAGATTTTCTAAGAGTTTTTATCACTGTGGTATGGTAACCTGCTTCTTTGGTTCATCCTTTTCTTACTTTTTCTCTCTTTGCATACTACATATTGGTCAGGGATCCGAGGTGTCAAGAGTGCCCATTGATCACCCCAGACAACCTGATTATTCCCCAGCAGGAACCCATGTCGCTGTAAGCCAAGTCTCTCCTGGGGAGAAGACTGATCTAGGATATAGGTTTGGCTGATGTTGATTCTAAACACGTGTTCTTTCAGATTAGCGGGACATTTCAAGTGAACATTCCACCTACCTTGCTTGGGTACACCTGGAGTAACACTTATGTCCCTCCTAGAGAAGACTGCAGTGGGCAGAACCCCAAAGAATGCACCTTCCTGAATATTTTTGCTACAATTGAACCTCAGCTATCATATATCACGTTCAACCCAAAACTAGATGAGGTAGGTTTCACACTGAATTATTCTGAGACAAATCATCAAAAAAGTATAAACTGTCTTTTAAAAACCAGTAATAATTTCAAAGTTACCAGAAGTGAAACACTGGTTTTTCTCTTATCTCCTAAGGGGGAGGAAGCAGCACAGTTTGAACTATTTTAAATCTGATTCTAGTTTTCAGATCAAACAGACATTTTGCAAAGAGCACAGACTTTTACCAAGAACTGTAAGGCCATGTTTCCCAACCGAAGAGTCGTGACCACTGTTTTTAATGGTGAAGGGATGCAGGTCTTTGTTACAAGATACATCAAGGCATTGAATCCACCACAGCAACTTCTGGATATATTTCTTCATGACTCGAATGCAACCCTTGTGAGTAACATTTTTTTTCTTTCAGTTATTGTTTTTAACAGCTTCATCAAGATCATGGAGCATGTGTGAAGAATCACGTGTATCTTTTATATGGGGATCAATCTAGGTGATTTGTTCTCTTCAGACAATTTATGTTATTTATGAGTTACAAAGCTCTCTTAACAGGAGCTAAAAATCAAAGTCTGGATTTAGGTTGCTTTTTACTGTATGTGGAATATTCCTTTACACTGTGTGAATATATGTCGCTGTGATTGGTTTAATAAAGAAGCTGAGTGGCTGACAGCTAGACAGGAAAAGGTTACGAGGGAGAACCCGACTAAGGATGCTGGGAAGAAGGCGGGCAGAGTCTCTGGAGTCACAAGCAAACACAGAGAGAAGCAAGATGGACATGCCGTACTGAGAAAAGATACCAAGCCAGGTGGCAAAGCACAAATTAAAACATGAGTTAATTGAAAATGTAAGAGTTAGCTAGTAACAAGCCTGAGCTATTGGCCGAGCATTTGTAATTAATATTAAGTCTCTGTGTCGGTTATTTGGGAACTGGCAGGTGGAAAAGAAAAGTCCACCTACAGCTGTACTCTGCTTTTCTGTTGTTTCTTCGTGCTGCTTGGTCTAACACCACTGCCCTGGAGAGAACAGTATTCTTGTGTGCTTGTGGAGCATTGTGGGGCATGTAACTTAACCACATGAAGTCATCAGTGTAACAAGTCACAACTGGGCGTAAATGTCACACATCACTTTGAATGTTAAAGAACCTTCTGTGTTGTCATCCTTCCTCCTCTCTTGCCTTTGAGTCTTAGTCTGCCACATTCTAGTGGGGAGGGGGACCCCCAGTGTGACTTCTGTTGTGGGGGAAGCAGGTCACAGCTGTCTCCTGCCACAGCAGCTTAATGCAAGTTTATAAGAAAAGGAATTCGGAAAGAGTTTGAAGCAAAAGCAACTCAAGCCTCCACTGCTTCACGCCTTTTAAAAAATGTCGACCTGTTGATGCAGTGTTAAAGTATTTTAAATTCTAATAATTTGTTACAACAAAACATAGCACCTAGCAAGTGCTCTCTAGGTCAGGCCATTTGGGCCCAATCGCCGGAGACTCATGTAGCATATCTTGGTGAGCCTGAACAAGTTATTTCATCACTCTGAGCTTGTTCCTCGGTCCCCTGAGAGGTCTGTAGTGGCTCTGAGAGAATGCTCGTAAAGCACTGTGCTGGATATCGGACATACTCAGTGACTGTCAGTTACTGTTATTCCAGGACCGCATTGCTCGATTTGTATCTTTGATTCCTTTTACGACAGAAACACTGGATGAAAACGATGGTTTTGACATATGGATGACATCAGAGGTAACAAATGACACTTTACAGTCATTTTAAATGTGTAATATTTCTCACTTGTCTTTCCTCTTAAAGTAGCACTTCTTATCCAGTGTTCTGCCTTGTGAGCTGTGAAAGTATTTGATAACTTGTGTATACTTTCCAGCTCCCTAATAATTTATGAAAATAAATCACTAAGATGATTCATTTTCAAAATTCAAAGTAATTCCTCATGAATATTTTTATTCCATGGGAATTTTAGCAGTGCAGTATTATGACATCCTCCAGAGAGCAGTGGATTGTCTCTGTGGAAATGGCCAGACTGATATCTACAGCAAGCATGTCATTTCCCAAAAGTGTTCCCGGTCCCCTTCTCTGGATGGAGAACTCCTGTAACTGTGCTCTTCTTTAGCATCCATTTCTGGTTCTTTGCAGACGGATTGCCAAGTGGAGTACAGGGCCCATGCAGTATTTGTCACGTACTTAATATTATCTGGAATTTACATTTAACTGGGATTCGATAATTTTTTTCCAAACCCTAATTTTAGTATTTCTTCCATCCTACCTTAGCTTTTATTGAGTTGCTTTTAAATTGACCCCACACTCAAACTGTATAAACATCTA